TATTTATTTATTTTCGCAAATACTGAAATTTACGTAATATAGTATAAAACTCATTGAAAAATTGTCAAGACGACATTTGATAAATTCTTCCGATGTATTCGTTATTAAGGGTTTCACTGTATCTTAAAGAACTTAATGTTTTATGATCCGTAATCATTTTTGAATATTTTCATTACTTGAAACTTTTTCAGTTTCGAGTGTTCTGAGCACACACAAGCCTCTGAGGTCGTCGGAGGTCCGGGAGATCAAGGAGGACGATGACGAGGTTGAGATTATCGAGGCTGACGAGGCTGTAGTTGAGGATGAGGATGAGGATGAACTCCTGGTGGATGATTTTGATGGAGAATGTTGTAGAACCTATCCGTTCAATCATTCAAAAATTCTCAGGTTATAATATTTTTTTTTAATCTTCCATTAACACTCACCCCTTCAAAATATCTAATTACGTTTTTTAATTCTACAAGTTTACAAAAAAGTTTCTTTTTTGTGAAAAACATCAACAAGAACTTCCGCTTAAAAATTACCCCTGAAATTTTTAATTGCACTTTCTTATTATCCAAAACTGACAGGCTTATGATTACAGTAAAACCTCTGTAAAATAAAATATAATTTTAAAAGAAAATTATTAAAGTTGGTTAAATTTTAAATTTATTCAAGCGTTACGAACAAAAAGCTGAAAAATTAAACAAACTCTCTTCCGTTTGTTTGTTACTGAGCTCAGGGTTTATATATATATATTTATATATATCTTACTTGTTTGTTGTTTGTTTGAACGGCTGACAGGAACGGGTCCAACTTTTTTGTGGTAACTCACAATACCCTAGAGAAGGGGTTATGGCAATAGAAAAAAATATTGATTTGATTTTTTGGATAAATCCATTAATGTTAACAGAAAAATATTCGAAATTTTATTTTTTTAAGAAGAGAAAACCAAAAATATTTGCTTATAAGCATTATTTATAAGATTAAATTATTAGAATAAAAGAAAGCGCATTGAAAGCCTGCTATTTTATGTATGACTGTATTGTGTTGAATTGTTTATAAAGGATTTATCGTTGAAAAGCAAGTAAATATCTGAGTACAATGTACATTCACACCTTACAGTGAGGATTTTTTAAAGTGAAAAAATACAATTATTTCTTTGTTTTAAATTTCATGCATTTTCAACTTTGATATAAAAAATATTTTCATTGTTTCTTTTGTGCATTTTCTGTTCGTGTAGTAAACAACAATAACATCAAAAATGTTTCAAAGACTTTGGAGGATTTTGTTTTGGAACTTCAGCGTTTATAGTAAATAAACAAACAAACAGACAAATGAATTTTTGAATATTTTTTTTGATGTTTGTGTGAAACATTTATTTGAAATGGTCAAACGTTCCATTGCACTAATGTATCCAGCTTGAAAAACAATAAAGATACTGTTGACAAAACTGGTGAAGTTTATATTGTCGTCAATCCCTTTAACTAGGTGCAGGCTTGCATTTTCAGTATTAGAATATGTTAAAAGGTTCTACCTAGTCCAAAACAAGATCACTATCCTTAACGAGGCAAGAATAGTGTACCAATAACACGATTAGTGTACCAAGTTGTATTGAACCTTTTTCAAAATAACCATTTATCCTAATTTTTTTAACGCTGTACGGATTTTTTCGATATCGAACACTTGCTTGTTTCATGTTCATTGTACTATTTTAAAACAAAATTTGTATCCTAAAGTCGTCTCCCTATTCTGCTGTGTTATTGGTCGCAATAAAGAGAAAGTGAATTTAATGATTTTTTATCTTTTAGGTGGCGAGAGGACAGGAATAAGAAGGAGGTGGAGAGAAGGAGGGCTGAAGAGAAAAAGAAGGATGTCGAAAAGAAAAGAGAAGACGACAGACGACGGGAGGACGAAAGAAGGAGAGAGGACGAGAGAAGGAGAGAGGACGAGAGAAGGAGAGAGGACGAGAGAAGGAGAGAGGATGAAAGGAGAAGAGATAAAACATCTCATAAAAATGAATCTGGTCATTCTACTGGTAGTTATTCCTTTGATAAGGGTCTTGCAAAAATATATTTTTTACAAACTAAATATTTTACAATATTCGGTTAGAAGAACTTTTCTGTTATCGAAAAAAATCTTTTTCATGATATAAAGTTTTTAAGAAAAATGTATTCCAACCGTTAAAACATATTGAAATAGGATTCTTTGATGGTTCATGAATCATTTGCACATTTGTTTTTTCCTATCTATCTATCTATCTGTCTGTCTGTCTGTCTGTCTGTCTGTCCATACGTCTATCTATTTATCTGTCTGTCTATCTATCTATCAATCTATTTGTCTATATCTATTTATCTATATATCTATCTAGGTTGTATACCTGTTGGTGTAATCTATTTATCTGTCTATCTATTGTCTATCTATTTGTCTGTCTATCTATTTATCTGCCTCTTTCTGTCTGTCTATCTATCTATCTATCTATCTATCTATCTTTCTATCTGTCTATTTATCTATCTAGGCTGTATACCTGTTGATGTAATCTATTTATCTCTATCTATTTGTCTGTCTATCCATTTATCTGCCTCTTTTTGTCTATCTATCTATCTATCTATCTATCTATCTATCTATCTATCTATCTATCTATCTATCTATCTATCTATCTATCTATCTATCTATCTATCTATCTATCTATCTATCTATCTATCTATCTATCTATCTATCTATCTATCTATCTNGTAATCTTTATCCTTGTATCGTTGTATCCTTTTTTCCTTGTATCCTTGTATCCTCGTTTCCTTGTATCCTTTGATACTTGCATCCTTGTTACCGTGTAATCTTTATCTTTGTATCCTTGTATCTTTGTATCCTTGTATCTTTGAATCCTTGTACCCTTGTATCCTTGTATCTTTGTATCCTTGTATCCTTGTATCCTTGTATCCTTGTATCCTTGTATCGTTGTATCCTTTTTTCCTTGTATCCCTGTATCCTTGTTTCCTTGTATCCAAGTGCATAGTGGGTGGGGGTTTTGGTTTGGGGGGTGTAAACTATTTTTACAGTCGGCATAAAATCCTCTAACTTTCAAATCTCAGTTGAAATCTTTGTGTGCTTGTGTGTGTCCGTGCTGGAGTGTGTGCTTGTGTGTGTCTGTGCTGGAGTGTGTGCTTGTGTGTCCAAGCTGGAGTGTGTTCTTGTGTGTGTCCGTGCTGGAGTGTGTGCTTGTGTGTGTCCGTGCTGGAGTGTGTGCTTGTGTGTGTCTGTGCTGGAGTGTGTGCTTGTGTGTCCGTGCTGGAGTGTGTTCTTGTGTGTGTCCGTGCTGGAGTGTGTGATTTTGTGTGTCCGTGCTGGAGTGTGTGTTTGTGTGTGTCCGTGCTGGAGTGTGTTCGTGTGTGTGTCCGTGCTTGTATGTTGTTTGATATTGAATATTGTGACAATTTGGGGGAGTTTATTGTTTATTTTTGTTTGCCTATATTATTATTTGAAACTTGCAAGGTTAGATTACATTTTGTGAAGACTATGTCTCCTATGTTTACTTTTTCTAACAATAATTCGTTTAGCCTAGTTTCAGTAATCTTTTCTTTTCGAACCCATTTTCACCATGATACTGTAGTTTTTAGTTTTTTTTATATTTTAAATTTTGAATATTATTTTGCCACTTTTTGTTGACATTTTGAGATTTTTTTGCGATGCAATTTTTGTGCAAACATCACTTTAGCGCAAAATAGTAATTTATCGTGTGCAGTATTGGTCGTGTTACATATATTGTGCCGCATACGTAATGTTGAGAACTTTGAGAACTTGCTGTTCTAGCAGTTCAATGTTTAGTGGGGAAGTGGGGGGGAGAGGGGTACCCCCCGGACACCCCATGATGGGTCCTATACCTATGGGATACCAGCTAGCCAAGGATCCTATGACCGGACAAATCCTACTCATACCAACAGATCCTAGTCAGAGACCGCCTCAAGGTAATTTGTTATCATCGTATTCTTTTCGAGACTTTATTCTTGTTTACTGTTTTATGCATACACGAGGTTCTAATCTACAGCGCTAATAAGTAAAGAAAAACTGTCTCAAGGAATTAACAATACAATTTTGAGCTTCGCTCTTTGAACTTTAATTCAGTACTTGAGAATTTTCTAATACTGATATTGTACAGGGGTGTGGCCTGGATACGATAGTATAATGCCTCCAACCTCCTCCCCCTCCCACCTCTCCCCCGCCTCCCAGCACCTTCAGCACCTCATGATTCAACAGCATCATCATTATCTCCAGGAACATCATCGTTGAACTCTCTTATTATTATATTTTCAGCCAGATTGATATCCATTACAAGAGGGATTTATTAAAAATTATTCAAAATATTTGATGACATTTTGCAAAGTTCTGAACCAACCTTTTGCACTGATTGCAGCCATAAATAATATGTGAGAATCGAATTTTGCACAAGGTTGCCTAAATGTTTCTGCATGAAATGGTTTTGAATTGCATTAAAGGAAATACAGATGATAGTTGTCGAACGTTTGCAATTTTTATCTCAATTTGCAGCGTTTCGTGGAAATATTTGTTTAATTTTGATACTTTTTATTTGTTGGTTGGTTGGTTGATTAAGACAGAAAAAATGCAATATCATCCTCATCTTTACACGGATAAATATTTAAAGAGTACTATTGTGAATCGTACATAGAACTCTTAATGGAGGGTCAATTAAAATTATGTTATGTTGTAAAGAGCAAATTTTGTAGAGTTAGTTTCTTTCTTTTCGTTGGAAATTTGAACGAGTGTTTTCGTGAGCAGGATAAACAGCAGCTACAATATCTCCAGCATGCTGAACTACTGCGCCAGGGTCTTGTTCCTCCCGGCCTTGGACCTCCAGGTCTAAACCTCCCACCTGGTCTACAGTCTAGACCTAGAGTACCAGAAACTATCACTGTCAGGTAAACGCGGGAAAACATTTCGTATTTTTTATTTTAAATAAAATACCGATTTCTAGATTAGCTCTTTGTTTTAATATATTTCTCATTTGAGACCTAATTAGTTTCCCAGAGAAGAAAATTTAGACAAAGAACTTTTTTTGAAATGTATATTTGCTGAACAAAGATATAAAATTTGAAAATTTTTTCGAATATGTTTTATTCATTTTTATTTTTTAATTTTAATTTTAATTTGTTTTTATAAGCTTATGATTAATATTTATTTGAATTGAATTGAATTGAATTGAATTGAATTTAGACTGTTTAGTGATAATGATTTTTTAAAAATCTAATGGAATTGAATTGAATTGTTTAGTGATGATGATGATGACGTGGAAGTTCAAGCCAAGACTCAAGCTTCAACAATTAAACCAACTCCTTCTCCTGCTCCTGTTGCTCCTCCCCCTCCAGCTGAAACTCTCCCTGGACCTTCTCCTCCTCCTCCCTCTTCCAACCAACCTCCCTCCCCTCACTCACAACCATCCCTTAGAGTTAAGAAAGAGATTTTCAAAACAGAATTTAAGACGGAGATCTCAGAAATTGAAGTTGAACCTGAAGCACCACCTGATCATGAACCTATCCTTGAGATTGAACCTGAACCTGAACCTGAACCTGATGTAGGAGACTCCAGGCTTTATTTTAAGCAGGAGAGACTGGAAAAACCTAGTGTAGAGAATATAAAACGTGAAGCTTTCGACGTTAAACCTGATCTAACCTCATTCTCTGCTCCGTACTCAAACCCCCACCTAGATCAGTTCAGCTCTCTTCCTCCGACTAAACCTGAACCATATTCTCCACCTCTAGCCAGTAAACACGAGCCCTCTTACTCCACATCGAACCTAAAGGAAGATACAAATCTATCTGAGGCTAGATGTATTAATAAATCCCAACCTGTTGCCGATTCTTTCTCATCTCTTCAAACTCCTAAACTTGAACCTTCTCCTCCTCATGAACCAGTACTCCCTACACTCCCTACCATCAGCCCTGGAATTGATGTGAAGGTTGAGAAAGTAGTTGAACCTAAACCTGACCTAGAAGTTCCTCTTCACTCTGCTCTAGAGGTTCCCTTGAAACTAGACCTGGTTCAAGATATCCACACCAAAGAATGCGCAGAAACACTTCTATTTTTCTCCGCCGAAAACTCGACTGTACCCGCCAAAAATCTAAAAGTGCCCGCCGATGATGAAAGCCTAGTCCAATTTGACCAAGAGAATGAAGAGTTTGAACTCTCTGGATTCGATATTCTGTTTGAAGGAATATCCAAGCTGGAGAAGATATCTAAATATCGCCGACCTGGAATGGATCTACTCTGCTATGTGACTAGAAATGATAGTATTGAGTACTCCAGTGATGTGTGGGGAGAGGATAAATTGAACCTGGATCTCCGGAGCAGAAACCTGGATCTAAACCTTCTCTGTGATATGACAGAGCCGGAGTATACAAGGATAATCTCCTGGGTGGATCCGATTATTAAATACAAGGAACAAAACAATATACAACCAAACCCCACCTAGATTTCAAGGTTACATATTGGTATTTGCAAACTGCATTTTTGCATCTTTATGCACAAGGTGTGCAGATTATTTGCACTATTATTGCGTATACGAGTTGGTTTAGAACTGAATGGAATCATGCTGGTTATAAACAGTTTGGTAATACTCAATAAGTTTTTTTAGAGCCCAAACTAAACCGTTTAGAAAATATAAAATTTATATTTATCTCCTTATGGCTTTTATATTTGTAAAAAATAAGATTTTAAAATTTTAATTCCATTAAAAAGCTCGCTTAAAATTTTTTTGCAGCACCTGTACAGGTTGTTTATTGTCTTGTTGTACAGGAACTGTACAATGTCCGACTGTACCCAAGCCAAGATGCGGAAAAATCCGCCAAAGTTTTCATTGATGAAAAGGTTCGACAGTACACTAAAGATCATCCTGACAACATTGAGGCTGAGAAGTTTGACAACATCAAGGCCCTCGGGAAGATGATCAAGAAGATCAAGAATATGGAAATCATGTCACAGGTAAAATAAGATATTTTAAAAGATACAAAAAACCGAGAAAAAGTGATTAATTATTGACAAAAAGTAGAAAAATAAAAAACATATTTTTTGATCAAATATAAGGAAAATAAAATATTAAAAAGATATAAATTATAACTGAATTGACAAAAAGTTGGATGAAAAATTGAAAAATATTATGCAAATTTTTTTTTATAAAATAAGATTATGCATATTGTAAAGCATAAGAAAATAGAAGATAATGTCAGTAAATATATAAATTTTGAGCAATTTCAAAAAGTTTAAAACAAAAAGAAAAGTGCATCTTAAAGAATAAAATTGATTAATACCGGGATAAATTTGAATTTATCAATACATAATATCAATAACTTTATTGTCTAGGAGGAGGTGAATATTAGAATGAAAATAACCCAACTTCAGAATACATACAGAGACACACAAAACTCTTTAAATAAATTGAGAACACCAAAGAAAAAGACGATGAAAGGATCTAAGAACAGAACCCGAGGACCTGGCAGACCGAAAAAGAAGAAGTTTCCGAATCCTAAATCTAAGATGGGACGACCGAGGAAACAGGTTCCGGAACAGGAGATAGTGTCTACCCTTGAGCAGGCAGATGAAACATCCTTCCAGGATTCTGATGCTCCGCCTGTTTTGGAACCAGAGGAGCCTCAGGCGGAGGATGAGGATGAGTACTCCTCCGCTGGAGGCGGAGGTTCTCTCCTTAAGCCACCCCGTTTAACTGCCTCAAGTCCAACGGCGGAAAAGGACGGCGCTAATACCTCACTTTCTACTCTTACTTCCAGGTTCATGAAGGGGAAGGCGAATCCATTCGCCAACCTGCTCTCGCAGCTGGCGGCGGGTCCATCTTCCGCTGCAGAAGCGGCGGATGAAATGGAAAAGTTTAGTGATGAGTCGGGCTCTGATCCTTGTAGCGAAACCTCTTCTTTTAAGTTTGGAAAAACCTCAAAGCTGAGTTACTGCCTGGAGGCGTATCATCATAACAAGAAGCGGAAGGCGGAGAGACCGAAGAAAAATTCCGGTGGAAATTCCGAAACGATTGTTCCGAAAAAGCCTAAAAATCTGTTTATGATGTTGGATTTCCAGCGGGGGTTTGGAGTAAAAACCGCCGAGGACGAGTATACGTTTGAGGATTCGGATGGGGAAAAGGAGGAGAAATCAACAGATTCCCCACAGCGATCATTTTCCCCGCCGCCGGTTCCGTCTCAAGGGATAAACAGCCGGTGGTCTCATGATGAAATCCAGGTAGGCCAACAGTCAGTTCAAAACAATTGAAAATATTTTTTTAATACTTATTTCTTTGTGCACAATACAGTGAGAATTAGAAAACTGTGGAATAGAAAGACGACATTAAAGCAATAATTCAGTGTATTTTATGTTGGTACAATTAAAAAAGTTTTGCCACTTACTAATTTAATCACAATTGTTAAGTGAACGCTTTTCTAATCATGAATGAATGAGTATGAGTTATTTGTCTTTCTCTTTGGAAATTGATTATTTCCATTGTGGTTTCTCTGTAAAAGGGAGAATGGAGGAAACTGTCAGAATTAACTACTTTTCAAACTAGAAAAACGAAAATATCTTTAATATTATTAATCAGATTAAGGCACCGTTGTGAATCAGGCATATGCCCTCTTTAAATGGCTAGGATCAATTGAAATTAAAATTACAGTCACTTTAAGAAAGGAGAAGCATTCTCTTCTTCATATATTTTAACTCTAAAAACTATTTGTAGTTTTTGTCAAACTGAAATCAAAATTGAGGATTTTAGATTTAGTTTTCAGAATCGACAATACATGGTGGAGTACAGTTCTGATAATCCTATATTCTAAAGTTTTATTTTCATCTTGCTTTCAATATTCAGATCTTGCAGTTGTTAAATTAAAGTTTTAATTAATTGGGAAGTGGAATAAATATCATTCTTGGGATTCTATTTTTGAAATGTAACAAGAAAACAAGATAGAGCTAGAGAGAGAGAGAGAGAGAGAGAGCTAGAAAGAGAGAGAGAGAGAGAGAGGGAGACTGGAATGTTTTCTACATAGTTTAAAAATCTTATTCTAATTCAGGTCACATTCTGCCAGCTTTTCAACTTTAAGAAAATATATTTTTTTTTAGAAAACAAATAAACTCCATGAAGTAGACGAAGAGACAAAAATGAAAGACGAGTCTAAAGACAATGAAGAGACGAATAAGGGATTACGATCTGCTCGTCTAAGTCCGGACGATCTCAAGGATGGACTAAGAATACTCGTCCTACAGGTGAGAATCGTCCTTTTCATTAATTCAGATAAAAAAATTTTTCTTTTCATTAAAATTTTTATCATTTTTTACTATTTTTACAATTTTCTCTCCAAATAATTCTTTAAGAAAATACACATCTGCATAAATAATTTTTCCAAACAAATAAAGAAATTAACGTTTTCAATTTGTGTAAAGTTGTTATTTGTATTTTGTTACTAATTTTAAACAATTTATATTCTTGAAGTAATTATATTTAAATCAAATTTTAATTAAAAACTGAATATTTGAATATTATAGGATAGGATCAATTTTCTAAATCAATGATTTAAAGAGTATATTAAAATATATTTTGTATTAAAGTTTCAGAAGTTATCTCTCAGATTTTAAAGTTTAAAATTTATGAATAAAGTATATTTTTAAAGAAAAGAACTTCAGTAAATGTACATATAATATATATTTAAACATAGATGTGATGAATAACTGATTTACAATTCTTAAATAATTCATTTATATTTAGCAAACAAAAGCATTATTTTAAAACATTGTATTATTATCATTAATATTATAATTATTATTATCATTATTATTATTATTATATTT